CTCCCTCTCCCCCCGCCCCTCTCTTCAGGCTAGTCTCAAAATCGTGGTAATCCTTCTGCCTCAGTCTCCCGAGTCCTGGAATTACAGGCCTGCGCCACAACGCTGGCTGCCTTTCCCAGTTTCCAACTGCACAAAAGTATCTATTAGTGATAAAAGGAGCCTTAGGTCAGTCCTCCACTAGTGGCAGTGGAACTAAAAATTCCACTAGGAGGTTCTGCTTTTATGATGCTTTAAGCATGCAGAGATTTGGAGACTGGAAAAAGCCGTTTTCCATTCACTAAATCGATAGGCTCCTGGCTTTATACCCCCCTTGCCCCACTGTTCCAAGGTTAGGCCACGGAGACTCAGGAACAGGTGCTTGAGCCCCGCTAAGGCCCTCAGCCACGCCCACCCAGGGGAAGATCCAGCCCCACTGAAATGGCTTACAGTTTGAAGTTCGAAAGGTGCTCATCGCGGAACGGGCGGGCTGGCGCTCAGACATTGGCCCGGCGGTTGATTCTAGGCGTAGGCACGCGTTTTTGATGCTCAGTGGGTGCGTGGGATTCACTTAGAGAATTCTGAGAAACACAGATGTCCCCTCTCTTTTCAGACGGGGCCCTTCCAGTGTGCCCTCAGCTTTGGTAATGAGTGGGCGACCCTCTTCGGGTGTCCGAAGCTGCTCTTTTTATTTATTTATTTTTAACTGTTGTTTAAAAACTTAAAGATTCAACTCAGTGTTTTGGCACAACGAAGACATTCGGAAACCATTTCTTGAATGAACCCCACTTTACAGACGAGGCAACTGAAGCTCAGAGAAGGTCACATAACTGGAGGTGCTAGTTCCCTTTCCACCGCACTTCGCTAAGAAGTGTTCACGTTGCGTTCTGGCCGCAGTTCCAGTATTGATACTGCAGTGAAAATCCAAAAATCAGTTTTCACGGTGCTCACCCAGCCCAGTTTAGCAGTAATCTGGCACCGTCAGGGTCAAGCGAAGGCTCCGCCCCCCCGATGGGCGGGCGCGAGGAGGGCCCTGTGAGCGTCCACAGTTCAGCGCCGCTGGCCGCGTCGCACTTTTGCGCCTGCGCGAGGCGCCGAGGGAACGGGGTCGAACTAAGAAATGGCGGTGTCGGTGTTCTATAGCCGGTTGTTGGCCGCAGCCACTCTTAGGAGCCACCGGCCCCGGACGGCGCTACAGGTCACCGCCCAGGTATTGCTGCCCGGCCAGCTCTTACCTGGAGGGTTGGCAGGAGAAATGCCGAGATTGGACCCTCTGCTCCTGTGGGCGAGGGGTGAGGGGACCCGGGACCCGGCTCGGGGTCACTTAGTTCGCGCTGACACAGCCTGAGTACTGCGCCGGGCCCGCGGGCGGCTTGCCCGGAACGCTGCTCGCCAGGGCTGCGGGTGGGTCCGTGTTTGCGCTGCTTTGCTGTGGCCCGCAGTCCTTGAGAAGGCCTGGCCGCAGCTGCCCCATTAGATTCCGAGGGGGCCGAACAGATGGTCGGGCTTTTGAATGGAGGTGAAGGGGTCGGGGCGGTTTCTGCTGTCGTCCGGCGTCCGGAGAGGGGGCCCAGGCTTTCCTGGCTCCTTTTTGGGTAGGGGAGAATGTCCTTCAAGTGCGCTTTTCTGTCTCTTGGGAACTGTCATAGGTGGGAATGGCTTAAGACATCAGTGGCTTCCGACTTGCCCTCCAAGTGGTTGTGTCATGTTCTGTTTATGAGTAGTGATAATAAGATTATCTTTTCTGATTTACCATTTTGGGAAGTAAGAATATAATCTTTGGATCACTTCATTTCTGGATAGACTGTAGCATAGTAACCTCCCCTTTGAATATTTATAGTTGTCAGATACTGTGATAGGCTCACTAGGCTTTTCAGCAACACTGAGGGAGTCATTAAGACCTGCATCATTGATGCAGATACAGTACTGTGCCTAAGAGAATAAGTAATTTGGGCTAGGTAGCACAGTATGCGATGTGAAAGTGAAGTTTAATTCCAGAACTGTCCAGTTCTTAAATCAGTGTGCATTAGTCTCCTTATGCTTTAGTCTCCTCTAGGGCTTGACATTAAAAATTGACTTCTTTCTCATGTTGATACCAAGAAAATGTGGAAGACCAGGACTGCTTCCTAAGTTAATTCTGGAGTTTTATGTTATGTTCTGAAGTAACTCTTTAGTCATACAATATATGAAGAGACTTAGGCTCCTTTTTCTTTTTTAAAGATCTATTTATACTTTTAGCTTAGTGAGATCTATGAGTTTGTTTCCTAATAAAAGTGATTTTTTTTTCTTGAACTTCTCTTAAGTGCTGTCTTTTTTTTTAGAGAATGAGGATTTGGTGAAAAGTGTTTTCATTCTAGTCATAATCTTTATTTTTTTTGGAAATTCCTTTTAAAAAGACATTGTTATTCTACGTGTGGATGTCTAGTATATTGTCTTTTTAACAACATCTCTTCTTTTCCACCCTGGCATTAAGAAATAAAGCCTTAGAGTTTGAAAAGACCTTATCTTAACTTTTTTCATAGATGAGGACACAGATCCATAGTCTTCTGAAACTTGTTCAAGGTCATACACTGAATTTGACAATTCTCCTCAACATTTTGTTAGTACTGTGACCCTTTTCCAGTTTTTCTATATCTTTAATGAATATAGTTCATGTTATAAGCATATATTTGAGAGATTTTCTTGGATTCTGTCAAGATCAGTAACTTGGCAATGTAAATCTTTTTTCTTTTTAGTGACATAGTGTACGTAGTTAGGGGGTTCAGTGTGATGGTTCAATACATGTATACATTGTGTAATGATTAAAGCAGGTAACATTTCTATCCAACAAACATTTATCATTTCTTTGTGGTGAGAACATTCAAATCCTTTCTTCTAGCTGGGTTGTTTTTTTTTTTTTGGTATGGGGGATCGAACTCTGGAGGTGTGTCACTGAAAGTGTGACTGTGTAGGATGTATCTCCCTTCTGCCTCCTCCCTTGGCTCTCTGCTTCCTTTCTGTCATGAGGTTAGCAGTGTTCTTCCACCCAGTCCCTTCCACCATGCCACCTACCATGCAGAACTGAAACATCTAAAACATTAGTCAAAACAGGCTCTGGGCTGGGCATGTAGCTCAGTGACAGAGCTCTTGCCTAGAGTGTGTAAGGCCTTGGGTTCAATTTCTAGTATTGAAAAAAAATTCCCCCAAATAACCACAATATAAATTATCATACATAGAAATTTAACATTGCCATAGCAGAAATATCTAATACAGGTATATATTGAGATTCAGATTGCCCCACTTGTCTTGAAATAACCCTTTATAGCTGTTATAGCTGTTTTAGAAACTGGCTTTAGGCCTCTATAGTATTTCTTCAGATGCATTCAGTGAATTAGGTGCCACCTAGTGACTAATATCCTACTGATTTAGTGTTCTATATGTACTAGGATTATTTATTTACATGTCTGTGAACTCTGGGTGGCACCAAGTTGGCTTAGTTTATTAGCATCCTTAGCGTACTTTGTAGTATACAGGCATTCAAAAAATATTTAAGTGTGTGACCATTTTTGCTAGGCACTCCTCCCCTGTACTTTTATTGTTATTTTGAGGCATAATTTGTATACAGTAAAGTATAAAACTTAGTTGGGTAGCTAGATTGATTTTTATGTCTGAATACATTGGTGTAGGGACCATCCAGATCAAGATATACAATTTTTTCAGTTCTCAGAAAGCTCCCATGTCCCCTTTGCTTATCAGTACTTCCCTACAGAAAGTAATCATTTATTCTGACCTCTACCACCAAAGACTTAATTTTGACTGGTTATATAAACAGAGATTGCGTTAGTATATATTCGTGTGTCTGGTTTCTTTCCCTCAACATATTTGTGAGATTAATCCATCGATATGTGAACAATAGTTTATTTATTTATTGCTCTGTAGTATCCTATTATATAAACATAGCACAGTTTATCCATTCTATTTTGGACAGTTCATTTACGTTTTTGTCTGTAATGAATGAGCTGCAATGACATTCTTGTATATGTCTTTTGGTAGATGTAAGACTCATTTCTGCTGATATATATCTAGGAATTTCTGAGTTAGCATGGGTTTCTGAGTTAGAAAATAGGTGCACAAAATAATTTGGGAGGTTGCCAGCTATTGAAGTGACACCAAATTGAAGAACTAGGTGAAATATTAGCCAGGACTTCACCTTACTAAATGAATCAAGAATAAGTTGCATTGACTTAGACTGGAGGTTCTCAGATTGTAGAGTAAATTGTTAAGAATGGAGATCTCTTTGGGCCTTGTTCTCATTTTGTAGATGAGAATAGGGACTGAGAATCTGCTGTTTTAGAGGCAGATTTAATTTTGATGTAACATATTGTGAACCCACTTTAAGAAACATTATATAAGGATTCTTTAAATTCATTTCTTATGATATGTTTCTGTATATTGCATTGTGTGTGGAGTTAACGGATGCAAATGGATAAAACTTAGAAATGTGATTCCAGTGCAATTTTACAAGGCTCTCATAGAAGTTGATTTGTTTATATTGTCTTGTGACACCTGCCGCTGCTAAGGGAGATCTGGAAGTAGGATGGCTCTTCTGAGTTGTCTCAAGTTGTAGTAAGATGCCAAGTCCTTCTGTGTCTCTCCCTGCCCCTATGGGTGTCAGTAGATGCAGCCTGCCAATGGGAAAGAGGTGTGACTTTGGGCAAGGAAGTTCCATGTGAGGACTTGTTGGAGAGTTGTCCCAGTCAGCAGTCTCAGCAGCTGGAAGTTTGAAAGCCTTGCCCCTGAAGGGAGGATCTGAGCACCATAACTCAGTGTTCACTGGAAATGAGGTCAGGGTTTTGAGTCTTGAGTGTGTGAAAGAGTAGTGGTATTAGATCATTCAGTTATCTATTGCCAGGTGATATGTTAGATGTTAGAGGAATGGTAGGGAGAAGAAAGTTGGAAGGAGTTTTGGTTTGGTGGAAAAGATCTAAATTTGTCATTGATATGAGAGATGCCCTTTTGTAGGTCATTGGAGATATGGTAGTAAAGATCAAATATAAGATAAGGACTAGAGGTGACAAGTAAATAGTTAAAACTGCAAGGGTAACATTCAATATTTAGCTGATTAGATTAGCTTTTGATTTTATGGTGTCATTTTCAGATACTCTGACTAGTATATTCTGATGATTTAATATAACAATTTGTTATAGTTATGAGGAACCAAATACTCTATAAACAAAGTATTTCAAGGAGGGTTTTTTTTTTTTTTTGGTACCGGGGACCGAACTCAGGTCCTTCTGCTTTCGAGGCATGAGCCAGAACCACTGAGCTAAATCCCCAGCCCTTCAAGGAGGTGTTTTAATAACTGCCATATCACTATCATATATAAATATGTCCCTAATTTCTCTAGGTTCTGGGAAATTCTGGATTGTTTAATAATCATGGACCCCAAGTACAGCAACAGCAGCAAAGAAATCTCTCACTACATGAATACATGAGTATGGAATTGTTGCAAGAAGCTGGTGTCTCCATTCCCAAAGGATACGTGGCAAAGTCAGCAGATGAAGCTTATGCAATTGCCAAAAAATTAGGTACTAAATTAAGAAAAACTTAATGCTACCTTGACATAGGAAATTTACTTTTGGTTTGATGACAACTTTTAGGTTTTATTTAAAAAAATTGTGTTTATTGATAGAACTTTATGATTGTTAAAATTCTAAATTTGTCAAGAGATGATTTTGAGCTCCTATAGTATGACTTAGGAGTTGCTTATACTGATGAGGAAACTGAAATCCTGTTTTTAGCTAGCATATAATTATGGGTAGGAAATTCTATTCACTACTTTGTATC